CCAGTCTGCCTGAATCAAGCTCTCTCTTTGGCCAGATGGTGCTTCTTCCCTCTGTGCCCTCCCAGCTCCTCACCTGCCTTCAAAAGACAGACGGAGGGAGGAGGACCAGAGGCAGGAAAGCTGAGTGCTTCTCAGTGTTCCTTACGATAAAAACTCAACAACACGCCTCCCGTTGTCTGTGCAAGAGCTCAGGACCTTCGTGTTCTCCAAACACAAGCATGGAGACGAGCCTAGACTTGCACAAATCTGGTGTTTGAGGATTTTTTGTTTCTTTTTTTCTTAAATGATAGACAGAATCAGACATGCCTCTACTATCAACCTCAAGACAAGTCTACGCTACAGACTTGAGATCCTGGCTCAAAAAAACAAACACAAACAAACAAAGGGGGGCTAGATCGGTATACTGAGTACAATATACATGCACACACACATATATTAATCAAAATAAAAAGTCTAATTCTCCACACCGATGTATAAATATGCAAAGAAGCTTCAAGAAACGATCAGAATCATAGCATTTGTCTAGCATGGGTTTAGTCCCGAGAACTGTAAAATTTAAATCATGAAATAAACAGTGGCTCAGGGATGTGACTCTCAAGAAGACATGCTTGGTCTACTTGGTCTCCATAGTGAGTTCCAGGCCAGCCGAGATGACAGAATAAGATCCTGTCTCAAAATAAATAAATAAATAAATAAATTAAATTTTACACCTTAAAAAAAAAACACTAGAATTATTGGCAACAAACTGTGCTTTGGAATGTTTGGAGCTGAGGGTGGGGCTATAGCGCAATACTTGTCTAGCGCTTGCCTGTGGCCCTGGATTCAACCCCCAGTATCACCAAAAAGAAACACAATCTCCCACTGTGTTAAAGAAACATTCTCAGTAAATGTAGTTTCTTAAGCCTAAAAAAAAAGGAAAAAGGAATATTCAACACATTACTATTACATAAGTTTTCCACTATTATAAGATCTACCAATAATAGGTTACCATACAGCTATGCAAAATTATTTTTAAATAGTATTGAAATTATGAAGAAATACCCGTTATGCCTAAAAGCCTAATATAAAATTGAATATGGAAGACTGGGCATGTAGCTCAGTGATAGATGTTAGGACCTGGGCTCAATTCCCAGGGGGGAGAGAGAGAGAGAACAATATACACTATAATCTAACTTTAGTTATCTCTGTTGAGTAGAAAAATGTGAACAGAACAGAGACCCGGAGGACGCAGTATGGGAACAATAGTTACCTTCTGGTGGTGAAATTATGTGCAGATGGTTTTTAACTCCCCCCCCCCTTCTTTAAACAACAGAATCTGGTACTATTTATCCATGAAAAAAAAAAAAAGGTGCACCACAAACAAGCTGCAAGGCTATAGGATCCGTGAGCTGCTATACCAAGACCACAGGTGACCTGCCTGTCCACATTGTTGCAGGTCCTGGAACAACCTGTACTGTGTGCTCAGGAACAGCCAACTGACCTTCTACAAGGATGCTAAAAACCTGGCCCTCGGGGTGCCCTACCACGGCGAGGAGCCCCTGGCCCTGAGGCATGCCATCTGTGAGATTGCTGCCAACTATAAGAAGAAGAAACATGTATTTAAGCTGAGGTGAGCCTTGCGGCCAGCACCTCGGCCTGACCCCTATGCCTTTTGAACCTTTATGCTGAAGGAATAATGGCCCAGCAGAGACCCACTGTAGCCCAGCTCCAAGCTGGTGTTGTTCCTTGGGTCTTTTTTTTTTTTTTTTTTTTCAACAGTCTCGTAGACTTTTAGCTTTCTGGGATGGCCTGCTACCCTAGAGGGGCAAGGAAATCCTACTTAGAGGCTGTAGGATAGTGGCTAGCTCTCTGCCCAGGCAAAGACTTTCAGAGATAGTACCACAACCCCAAACCCTTTGTCTTCCTAGGTTAAGCAACGGCAGTGAGTGGCTCTTCCATGGCAAGGATGAGGTAAGTATGGGTGACCTAACTCAGAGGAGGCTAACCATGCAGTGGGTGGAAACCCGACACTCATCCCAGCACTCCCTAGGAAGGGAGCGGTCAGAAGCGCACGCCTCCCTTCATGGCCCCAGGAAGGCTGTGCACCTCTAGACTCTCTGACATGTCCACGCCCACAGGAGGAGATGCTGCTGTGGCTACAGAGCATGAGCACTGCCATCAACGAGTCCCAAAGCATCCGTGTCAAGGCACAGAGCCTGCCTCTGCCTTCCCTTGCGGGTCCTGATGCCAGCCTCGGCAAGAAGGAGAAGGAAAAGAGGTTTAGCTTCTTCCCCAAGAAGAAGTAGCAGCTGGAGGCCCCCGTGGGCGGGGCCAGCCAGGCAGCACTGCGGCGTGCGTGCATCGGGACGTGTAAGGACCAGGAGCCCACGGCCTTGATCTCCACAGCGGCCAGTCCTCCTCCTGCCTGCCACCCCACTGCCTGCAGCCTGCCTGCTCAAGTTGCTGGGCCGCAGGGCCCACACTGCGCCGCGATAGCTGCCTTGCCTGCCTGGCCTCCCCGGCCTCCCCAATGCCTGCCAATAGCCCTCCACCTCCCCTATGCCATGCAGCTGGCTGGGCTCCAGGGCAGGAGGCCCAGTCCCTTTGGGGCTAGAGACGGTTCTGGGTTCTGTAAGGCATATACTCTCCTCTTCCTGCCCCCAACAAGCTGGGAAGCCTGATGGGGTTCCTCCAGCACTGCCCACGACCACAGCAACTGCCCCTAGGGGGTCACTAACCACAATCAGCCAGGAAAAGGGATATTGGCAATGGCTGCCCTGCTTCTCCGGGGCAGGGGAAAGGGCCTTCAGAGCCCCAGCTCTGGGCTTGGTATACCAGCTGATGAGGTACCAAGGGGACAATAAGGGGTGTCAAGCTTTGAGTACTGCCAGCCTCCTTGCCGCTGGGCTCCCTCAGAAATGGGACTCTCTCCTCAGGGCTAGCATGTCCCTTTTTTGTTTCCAGAGTCCTGAGTAAATGAGCCTCCTGCTCTTCCTCTTACGGCACCCTTTGCTCCTCCTAGCATTGGGGAGTGTTAGAACCAGAAGCCCTCATACCACTCCTTTGGAAACTCTGGCTAGAGCCTATTAGGGCTCAGGCCTCTGCTGCAGGAGGGACAGAAAGGTCCCAACACTGCTTAAGGTTCTGCCTCTATACTGCGGCTCTTTTCCCCAGTTGCAACCAAACCAGCAATATGTGGCCAGGGCTGGTGTCAGATACGAGCTGAATATCCAGGTCCTGCAGTAAAGTATCACAAAGCTAAATGCCCACTATGTCCTCCCATCCTACCCCATACAGTTGGTACCCGGTCAGTGGCTGGACACAGAGCTCTGTTTATTACCAAGGGGTGACAAAGGCAGGCATGTGACACAATTACCCCTGGAACAGAGGGATGGGTGTTGGGAACATAGTCGTAAAGGTATGACCCCTGCTGATAGGCTTCTGCAGGCCTAGTCAATTCTGGGGGCTCACATGGTATAAAGGTCTCCAAACACCTACCATTGTTCTCCAAGCATCAAAGGGGGCTCTGCCGCCCATTGCTAGGGAGCGTTCCCCATGCCTGTGGAAGAACAGGACTGCTGGTCCTGAAGACATTCTCTGCTACACAACTGGAAGCAACACAGCTCCAGCCCAGCCTGGCAGCTGGAGTTAGGTGGAGTCAAGGCAACAGGCCTTTTCACCTAGGAGACCATCCGTGTCCCCAGGGATCACAGCCAGTTTCTACTGCCTTCCCCATGGGTAAGGCTCAATGGGAAGCACCCAGTTCCTAGGCCTCCCCAGAACCCCTTGTCGACCAGGCAGGTATAACTCAGAGATCAGGTGCACCTTGTGACCCCCCAACACATGAGTATGAATGCAACCCCAGTAGATAACAGCCACTGAGGCTACCGTGGCCATCGGGCCCTGATTTTCTCATCTCCGCAGCGTCTTTACTTGGCCTTGGTGTACAGGACCCTATAGCCCTCCCCTTCTACGGGGAACACAGTGGGCACCATTCGCCAGCCTTTTTACAGCTGGAGAAACCAAAGCAGCAGACAGGGAGGCACGTGCACCCTGACAATAAAAAATGCCATGGTGCATGGAGAGAAGTTTGACTATCTCTGGGCTCCGTGCTGAAGCTTTGGGTGGCAAGCAGCTCCCGCAGGCACTTTCCTTGGTCTAGTCTTTGGGGGCAGGGGGCATCAAGGGACGGGGGTCTACATTTCCCCTCAACACGTACCCATGTAGCACCTGAAGGGAAGGCTCCAATGGAAGAGCTAGGATCTCATCTCAAAGGATCACACAGGCTAGTCACTGCACCGCGACCTACCATCACAAACAGCCCCCCCCCCCCCTACTTCTCACCCACATCATCCAGGCCCCTAGGCACGGAGCTGACTCTGCAGGTGGCCAACTTTGGGGGAACTCTGCATTCCAGGGCTAGGCTCTCCCGGTGCCCTGGCAGGCTGGTTTTTCTCCTGGTATTTTCTACTTTGCGGTCTTCCTTGACAGTACTCCCAAACTGGGTTAACACAGCTACCGTCCACACCAGCATAACAGGCTTCCTCCCCAGGGTAGTTGGAGGAAGCTCTCTGGGCTCGGTCAGACAAGTTCCCTTTCCCTGTCCCTTTGTCTTGGGCCATGGCAGACGGGCTGAGGAGGAACAGAGAGGGTCCCGGGACCCTCCCACCCCACCTCCACTGGTACTAACAGAAGTCTGTGTAGGCACTCCCCCTGACCCCCACCTCTCCTTCCTGCCTATTGGAGGGCAATAGGCCCCCTAGGCTGGCCCTGGATCTCCCTCCAAGAGGAAGCAGATTCAGAGGAAGCGGCCAGCAGGCCACATGGCTTGGTCCCTTGGACAAGCAAGCTCAGGGAGGACATAAGACAAGGTGACTGTAGAGGAAGGCAACCCTGTTGGGCACACAGATCATGCCATCTGGGGCTGGTCCTGGGGCTGGCTGGGCCTTGTCCTCCACCTGCTCAAATGTGCTTCCACAACCAGAGGAATCCCATTTACTAGTTTTTCTAATAAATCAATAATACTCCATGTTTGTTTCTGTTTATTTGACTAGTCTCGTCTTCCTTTGAACTGAACTTCAGAGGACAGGTACCATGGAAACAGAGGGACCGCTAGACTTTGGTTTCTTCCTGAGAGGATTACGGGCTGACTCTGTTGGCATCCAGGCCCTAAACCCATTCTGAGGCCCCGAGGAAGCTTGCTCACCCATGAATTCAATCAACTCTAGATCAAAGTCATTCCTCAGCACTCACGGTGCATGCTGCTCACTACAGGGTGCAGGAGCCTGAGCCCTAATCTGTTTGGTGATCCATTTCAGGGTTGTTTGGTCTGGGTGGGATACAAGACTGCCAGGTTCCAGAGGCCCCTCAGATATTCTGATCGGTACCAGTGAAAGCAATGATCCCTGCCCAAGGTTCCCAGGCACACCTAGACGCGGAGTGTGAGGAGCATCCGAAAGACATTAGCTACAACTGCTGAGGCTCCACGCCTGGGTGGCATCACAGTGACTCACCCAGCCTTCAATCTGGAGCTGAGGAAAGTACACAGTTGGGTGTCCCAGCTAGCTGCCAGTAAGGCTGGGGCAAGAGTTTTGAGTCATCTATCTGGCGCTTTTATGACTGCTATCAGGTGTCACATCCTGGGATGGGCCTGCTCAAAACCGGTAGCCTTCTTCTCAGTGACGACCAAAGGGCCACAGAAGACTCGGAGCAACTAACAGGACATGGGCTAACGCGGTCCTGCTCTGCTCATGCCCAGGAGGCCACCACTCACCTGATAGCGGGGGACTGGATGGACCAATGTTTGTTCAGATTTAATCCATCCTCCTAAGTTGGAAGATTCCCCAGGTCTTAATTCTATAGACTTGCAGAAACACTCAAAAGACTGACCTCTCTATCAACCACCAGGGCTCCTCCTTTCTGGCCTCAGACAGAACAAACCAGATGAAGTAAGGCTGATCTTCCGTGGAGAAAAGGGGCCACCCAGAAATGGGGCATTCCTGGTCCTCTGCAACCGGACAGTTCTGTGGATGCTGCGAAAACAGGGTCCACCCTAACAAAATGCCTGTGTATTCCCACAACATTGCAAACCGCCACAGGACATTTCTAAGCCTCGGCCTTAGGATCCCTGCTCCTAGGAGCTGGAGAGGGAGAGAAGAGGAAAAGGCACAGGAAAGTTGCTTATCTGAGGGGTTCTGCTTGCCCCTCGCAACTCCAGCGTGTTAGTATAATTTTGTCTTTGGGAGAAGGCTCACAGACAGGATGCTGGGCCGTGGGGTGGACCAAGCAGTGCACAGAAGCAGACGTGGCAGACACAAAGTTCCCATCTCACACTCTGTACCCCACCGGACCTGGGAGCACCCTGGTGTCTCCTGTTTCCTGTGCTTAGACACTGAGTGAGCATTCCATGTCCCTTGACCCGTGAATGATCTTCCCCAGAGGGGTCCCCAATAAGGAGGCCACACGCAGGTTGGTCGGATGGCCAGCAGTGGTTACTGCACCATTGGCAAATAATGAAATGTGTATTCATCAGCAACAACCACGGGGCCAGCAAGACAACCTTCAAGAGTACCTGAACTAAGTCCGTTACATTCTTTACAGGACACGTGTGCGCATGTGCGGGCACGCTCACACTCACACACACATACACGCTCACACACATGCATCCACACACCCCACAGTATTGAAAGCAATAAATTATTGGCCTCATTCCCGCCTAGGTCCCAAGACAAGGCAGGTAAAGAGCAGAGTCTCCCCAGGCTGCTTCCTAGGTTTCCCCTTGGCTCCTCAGCCAGGCAGTGGCCAGCCAGTAAGGGAAGCCAGGACAGGACTTGCTTTCCTTGGGCAGAGTAAGCTTAAATAAAATATTTGGCTTCTTATCAGAGAAGTATTTACAAGGTAAGTGGCTCATCTGGGCCTAAGGAAAGTTCTCATAGGACCTCCCTGGGGAGGTGGGGACGTGCCAACACAGGTAGCAGGTGAGTTCACACATGCTCCCCAAACCGGTTACTCTTCCAGAAGAATGGAGGCACAGCCTTAGCGAGCCAGGCCTGGTGGAACATGCCAGTCCTCGACATGGTCGCTCTCTCCTTCAGGGGTCAATCAACCCACAGAGTTCAAGGCCTGGAATTTCTCCCTCAGGTTTCTCACTCTACCCTGCTTGTTTGTGTCTGCTGGGTCCCTGGAACCTTCTTCCTTGGGCTGGTACTCTGAAGACTCCAGGAAACCTTGGCCCTGCCCTTTCAAAGCTACTGGTGAACTCGGTTCCTTCCCACTGCCCTCCTCCAGCCCCATAGTGGAGCTGGGATGGGGCCCCTTCTCCATGACAATCACTCGCTGGTTGTTCTCCAGGGTAAGGTCTGCAGTGATATACAGGGATTCCTCTCCATTCAGCCTGCTTTGGGGAGGAGACTCAGGAGGTGGCGGCTGGGAAGTCTCCCCATCCCCCTGGCGCCTCTTTGTGTTCATACTGCTGCAGCGGCCCACCTTGCCAGATACAGAAGGCTCTACTATGTTCTCAGGCAAGGAGCGGCTCCGGTTGACCAGCAGGCCACGCGGCCAGCTGCTCTCGGCTTGGGCAGCCTTGTCGTTGGATGTATACTTGGAGCAGAGCTCTCGGACATCAGGCCAGTTGAAGGTCTCCGTGTCGAAAGGGCTGAGGGGGCTCCGAGTGGAGGGCCGAGACCCCGAGGACGCGCTTCTTGGGCTGAGTGCAGAAGGGCTGAGGGAGAACCGGCGTGGGGAGGTCTCCGCAGCAGCAGCAGAGGAAGTCTTGGAGGTGCCCTGTTCCTGAGCCATCAGCTGCTCATAGCTAAGGAGGGATAGCACAGGCTTCCTCCTGGCTGCAAAGAGAGAGAGAACAAGCTACGTGAATCACTGTGGAGAGAGAGAAGGAACCAGGAGGGGAGAGATGGGAGCCATCTTCAGCTGCAAGTGGGAACTGGAGTGTACAGGAAGAAATCCCACTTTACCCTCTCCCTGGTAAGAAATGAGGCCCTAGCTATTTCTCCAAGCTTTCTCTGCTCACATTGAAGAGCTGGGGAGAGGGAGGGGGCAGACTATGGCTTCAGTCAGGAGAACAGGATGGGTCAGAGTGTAAAACAGATTGCCAAGGCTCACTGTACATCAGTGGTGCCTGGGGTCCAGCATGGCCTCTTTAGAGGTTATTCCCCAAACCCCACAAAAACACTGGATTCTAATTGGCTTTCCTACTCTTAATCCTCCTACCCCCATCATACCTTTGCCCCCCGACAGCTCTCCAGCTTCCTCGGGCTGGCCAGAGATGGCGGGGATCTGCTCATCCCTGTCAGGAGATGCTTTATCCCATGGCAGAGGTGGCCTGGCTGCCTTGATGTTCTTAATCCGGAGGCTGTACTGGCGGGCCAGCTGGTAGACCTTGTTCTTGACCCGCTCACTCATATGGCTGTCCATCACATGGGAGAGCTGCATGATTCGGGGGTGCAGTGGGGTGACCAGCTCCCCCTGGACACTGCTGCTCAGCTCTCTCACCAGCTCTTTCAGCTCCCGGGCCAGGTGGGCTGGGTTGGGTTGCTCGGTGGGAGAGGCACTTTCTGGAGAGGCCACGGCAGACTCCTCGGTGATAGCCCCCAGCTCGTGCTCCTCCAAGATGAACAGCGGCTCTTGGAGCTCAAAGCCGTTGGCCTGGCTCTGGCCAGGCCCTGTCCGTGGACTTCTCTCTGAGGATTCCATTCTCTCCCATAGCTTCACGATTTCTGAAGATGGGCGGAATTCAGCATCTGTGATGGGAGCTGGGTCCCCTGTGCCTGACTGGCTGGGTCCTGGGAGGTCAAACAAGGCCCACGAGGCTGGCCGAGAACTCCCTGGCCTCTTGTACCCAACTGGAGCTGCTGGCTCCGAATCTGGCTTGGGGAGGCTGTTGAACCTGGACACCGAGCTCCGCACCAATCCTTTCGGGATGTAGGAAAGGCTCTCCCGCCGCCGGATGCTGAAGCCTGCATCGTGGTGCTCTGCATTTTCGTAGTAGTTCTTGATTTTGTCCAGCAACTGTCGGTCTCGGGTGGACAAGGCTGATTCCTTCTTCTTGCAGGAAGATTTGTCCGGTTCCATGGGGCAGCCTGAGCCTGAATTTGGAGATTCCGTTCCATTGACGGAAGGGCCATTGTCTGTAACCATGTCTGCATTGATGACCACTTCTGGGGTGGGGGGATTGCTGAGGGAGTCCCCAGTGCTGCTCCATCGGGCTAGGCCCTTCTCACTGCCCTCCAGGCTAAGCACACTGCTGCTCCGGCTGATCAGCCGTGGTGTCCCAAGGCTACTGGACTTCCCATCCTCCATTGCCAGGCTGCTCCGCCGAGAGAAGCTACTGGCAAACCGCTCGGCGATGACACTGGCCTGGTCCAGCACTGAAGGTGGCAGCAGGCTCTCGGGCTCCTGGGGAGCTCCCAGTTCCTCCTCTTCCTCCTCGCTACTCAGGGCCTTAAGGTCCTCAGTGCCCTCAGGCTCCACAAAGTCCGCCACATCAACTGGACCATCTACCTGCAGCAGTCCCTTGGGGACATGGACCTGTGTTTCCAGAACTTTTGGAGAGTCTGGCTCTGAAGGCATCTCCTCAGTGCTGGGACCTTCCAAGGCAGTCAAGGCCTCCTGTTCAGCCCCAGGCTCAGGGTCTGTCTCAACCTGGGAGGCAACAGGGAATATATTAGGGGTGGGGGTGAAGCTCCTTCATGAGGCTTGGGGGACAAGATGGCACAGCCTGCTCTCAGGCCAGGTGGAGGTTCTGCAGCTTAGGACAATCAGAATGAGCAGGACTCAAAAGGTCCATTTATTTCTCTAGCTACCCTGCAGCTGGAGGACAGGCCCATGTCCTCACACCCAAGAAAAACAGCAGAAATGAAGAAGCGTGGCAGCCTCTCTCAGTGGCAGCCTGCATGGGAACTACAGGCACAGTGTGGAGACAGGCGACATAGTTTCCAGGGGTGGGGGCCACATAGGCAAGAAGTATCTTGGAGATTCCCCTGCCTGATGTCAAGGCAGCTTGGGAGTCTAGGAATCAAATCCAGGAATAAGCAATTATGAATGGATATCCCAACTTCCCCAAGGGACCAAAGATTCCATGGGGCCAGGAGCCAGAGGACAATTCAACTGTGAGCTAGATCTCACTGTTGGAGGTGAGCTCAGTCCCACAGCGGAGAGAGACCCGACTTCCAAGCTGTGTTCACTGGTAGGCACATGGCCACATCAGCACTTAACACTTGGAAAACTCTCTCTCTCCCTAACCCCCTTCACCCCACAGTAATAAAGGTGAGGGCAAGGATTTGGCTTCTATCAGCCAACCTGTCTTAGCACCTGTGAGCCCAGTGTCTCTGCATATGCCCAGCAGATGGGCAAGGAGAAAGCAAACAGGAGAATTCCCTCCTGACCAGCTGGTCACTGGGCCCGTAAGGTGCTGGCATAGGCAACTTCCCAGAGCAGTCCTCTGGGAGAAGATCAGCATGGACACAAAATTCGGAAGCATCAGAGCAACTCCATAATCTGTAGAGCTGCACCGCCCACCACAGTAGCCACCTGCCATTCTAGCATCTGAGATGAGGCCAGCCCAAATCAAGACCTGCTAGGAAGGTAAGATACATCCAGATTTGTATCTTTGTATCTGTGTATAAAACATAGACTGGATCAGTAATTTTACTTTGGTTCTGTTAGGCTGCATAAAATATGACATTAAAATTCACTTTTTCTACCCTTTTGAGACAGATTCTCATAGAGCCCACTATGGCCTCACACTTGCTATGTATCTGAGGCTGGCCTGAAAGTGTCAAATCCAATTGTCTCTGCTTCCTGGGTACTAAGACTATAGGCATGTGCTATCCTGTCCAGCTTCTCTTTCCTTCCTTCCTTCCTTCCTCCCGTCCTCCCTCCCTCCCTCTCTCTTTTTTTTTTTTTTTTTGGTTTTTGAGACAGGGTTTTCCGTGTAGCTCTGGCTGTTCTGGAACTCACTTTGTAGACCAGGCTGACCGCAAACTCACAGAGATTCACCTGGCTCTGCCTCCCCGAGTACTGGGATTAAAGGCGTGTGCCACCACCACCCGGCTTCTTTTTATTTCTTAACGTGGTTACTAGAATATTTGGTGGGCTGGTGGCATAATGGAAACATGCATGACTAGATTCTAAACAATTTCAGTTCCACATAGGGCTCACCACATTCTAGCATTCCTAGACAGTACAACTGCCATGGTCTGAATCTTTAGTGGTATCCCAGAAGACTCCTGTTAGAACTTGCTGTCCTCTGTGAGAGCATGAACAAGTAGGGCCTTTAGGAAGTGACTCCATCATAAGGGTTCCATACTCACACCTCATAAAAGAGGCTAAAGGAAGCGTCCTTGCTGTGAGGATGTGACCGAAACAGAGAAGAGATTCTCATCAAAGAGTGAACCGGCTGATGGTGCCTTGATCGTGGACTTGGCAGCCTCACTACTCTGAATGACACACTTTCATTGTTTACAAGCACTTAGTCTAAGATATGTTGTTATAGCAGCTTAAGTGGACAGTTATATTTCTATCTAGGGCCATCTAGGTTCTCAGCTCTGTCCTCACTGAGGCTCACCTGGGGTCTAGCTCATGACTTCATTCTTTTAACTTTGAGAAAACAAAGGAGTTAGGTCCACTGCCCCCTCAGACGCTGCCTGGAGCGTACCCTGTCAAGCAGCTTTTCCAAGCCTCTTTTCTTTCTGGAGTAGTTGTGAGGTACCCAATGCATATGCACAGTCTATCCCTTTGCCCAGGTGGCCACAGCTAGGACTTAGGCATCCAGCATAGTTTTCAGGGCATGCTCACGTCCCCTCCAGGCAGCCTGTCCAAGGGTGCCCAGGGAAGGTCACCTTTGTTTAATTCATAGAAACAGGCTGGTTGCTAGCCAAACCACACACCCCGAGGCTGGCCAGGCCTCTGGAAGGGGTGAGGGTCAGGAAGTAGAGAGTTCCTTTGCTCAAGACACCCTGCCTGTAGACCTGGAGATACGAACACCAGGTCCCCTGAACTATCTCCCTCCCATCTGCTTGCTGCTCACCTCCGGCAGGGAAGAAACAGACTCGAAGCTCATGCGTTTCTCTGCGCTGGTTGGAGACCGGTTGCTGGGCCTTCTACGGCTTTTAGAGTCTTCAGACTCCCTGTGTCTCTTCCCCTGCAGCAAGCAGAAAGAAGTCAGTTGACAACTGAGACCTGGTCCCTTCTGCATTCCATTCCAACATGGACAGTGGTACAGTCCCCAGAGGTACAGGAAGTACCCAAGAGCCAGTCCTATGCCCAAGCCATTCCAAACAACCTGAACTGCCAGGTCCAGGGCCACAGAAATCCTTTCAAAGTGTGCAGTTTTATAAAAACCCAGCCCACCTTCCCTTCCAGATGCAGTGAGTTGACCTTCTCACTTAACGGATGCCGGTTTTCCCCTCCCCGCAACCCTGTTAGTCCTGCTCAGTGGGTAGTATACCAGTGGGTACCCGGTCCTAGACCGGTGCATGCCAGGGGCTCACCAGGGCGTGACAGTGAGTGAGTTAAGAAGTTGCTGACAGCTGGGGGGGGGGGGAAGGGACGGGGTGGGCAGGGTGGGAAGGACACAGGAAGGGACTCTCAGAAGGACATGCACATGCCAGGCTAACATGCAAAGAAGAAGGGAGATCAAAGAGACACCTCACCATAGCACCCCGGGAGAAAAGTAAAGCGTTGGCTCGATAGTGCCAGCAGTGGAGGGCAGCCAGCAGGGAGCTGGCAAAGTCAGCTACCTGCTCGGCCACCGCTAGACTCTCCTCCTCCTCCTCCTCCTCCGAGCCCAGGAGCTCTGGCCCAGACACCTTCTCACTGCCTTCATGCCCTGCCAAGTCTTCCAGGGAGACTGGGAAGGTCTGCTGCTGCTCTTCCTCCTCCACTATTTCCTCCTCTTCCTCAAGCTCCTCCGTGGCAGCCCCCTCAGCCTCTGGTTGCAGGTCCTGTGCAGGGGGTAGCTGCCCAAAGTCCAGGAGGGCTCCGTCACTGCCTGCATGCTGTTCAGAGCACAAGAGCCCCCTGTGACCTGCCCTGTGGGCAAACCCCCTCCTGTAGGTAGCCAGAGATGGCTTCATATAAAAATCTACTCCTGCTAGGTGGTGGTGGTGCAACGCCTTTAATGCCAGCTCTCGGAAAGCCAGAGGCAGGCAGAGCTCTGTGAGTTCGAGGCCAGCCTGATCTACAGAGCTAGTTCCAGAACAGCCAAGGCTACATAGAGAGACCCTATCTCAATAAATAAATATTAAAACAACAAAACAAAAAAACAAAAAATAAAACCTACTCCTAGATGTCAAATGCTGGCCTCCTCTGGAGCGGAGCATTTTATGTGGGAAGGGCTGAGATCCAGCTGGGAATAAAGTGTCTCCAAATGAGCTTATATATCCCGAGAGGAGGAAATAAGAGGACACAGGCCAGGCAGGCACCACAGGGTGGTGCTGTAGGAGGAAGACAGGGAGGGTCCCTAAGGGCTGACCTGGGCAGTGCTATCCACACTCCCTCCTTCCAGCCCCCTTCTCTGGCCTCTGAGGTCCAGCACTCACCTTCATTCCTGCTGCTCTGGCTGCTGACACCACCACAGGGTCCAAGCACACGGTGGGAGGAGCATGGAGGAGGACACCAGTAATAAAAGAGAGAGCCTCTTTAGAGAGACTGGAATCCCTGGGGGAAGTCTCACAGGGGTCCCTACACTCCTGAACCCCTCCCCTGGTCCTGGCTTTCAGAGGGATGGCTGACAGCTCAGAAGCTCAGCAGAGAGTAGCACAGGTCTGGGCAGGCTGCTGGGTGCCCACACTGCAGCCGAAGGAAGGGCATGGTGTATGGGCAGGGGAGCCAAGACTCTCTGCAGACATCAGGGATGAAGAACAAAGCCATATTCCCTCTAGCTTATTCTCCATAATCTCCAGCCAGCTTACTGCCTGCTTTCACTCTCCCACCCCACCTAGAGAGCCCTGACTGCCCTTCCGCACACACTCACCTTTGTCATTCAGCTGCCTGAACAGGTGTCTGGTCGGCTCTGAAGAACACAAACGGGCAGTTAGCACAGGCCAAGAAACAGCTGCACCTGACCTGGGTCCCAAGCTCACAGAGCCACCAGCCCATCACCGCCAGCCCAAAGTCCACCCTAGCTGGCCCCCAGCCACCCTAGGCCTCAGGGAGGCTTTCTTCACAGTGTTACTGAGGCCCCAGCCACTTCTCCTCTGCGGCACACAGTGAACGGCTCAGTCCTTGTATTAGTATGCCAGGCAAGGCCTTGGTTATGGAGTCATCTGAAGGGATCGGCCCCATGCTACCCACTTCAGACTAGCTAGCCACTAGCCACATTTCCATCTCAAGCCCCTCTACTACAGCATCAGCACACAGCTACGCCCCCACACCAAGCCCCTCATAGCGTGCAAGCCGGAAAGCAGGGGTCGCACCCGACTTTCTACGGCCCTTAAGGCCTGGCATCTCCAATCCTTGCTGCCTGCTGGGAAGTGATGCCCTGTTGAACAGGGTATAACCAGGCTCTGGGGACACAAAACACAACTATTAGGCTAATGGTGTTGTTACACTGTACCCAGCCTTTCTGGGGACAGACTGGAAACAGTGCTCTTCCAGAGGACCCAGGTTCAATTCCCAGCACCCACACGGCATCTCACAACTGTCTGTAACAGGGGATCCAACACCCTCACACCATTGTACATAAAATAAAGTTAAATAAATTATTTAAAAAAAAAAAAGAAAGAAAAACAGAAAGTAAGCAAGCCCCAGAGACCCTCCTGCCTCTAACTCCCCAACAATGGATCAGAGACACATACAACTATAGATAGCAAGCTATTAATGTGAGCATCGGGAATCCAACTCAGGTCTCATTCCTCTGTGGCAAGCATATCAACTAAACTATCTCCCCACCACCCTCAGCAGATGTGAAAATGAGAAGAGGCGCATCTGCCTAGGCACCTGCTGCTGAGCCAGATCCCAGAGCACACAGGGTGGAAGCAAAGGACCGACTTCCCAAAGTTGTCCTCTGACCTCACACAAATGCCACCACCCTTGAACACACATATTAGACACACACAGAGAAATGTGTGTAGTTAAAAATAGAAGATTTTAAAATGTAACAAAGCGAGAAACAGAAATATTCTTTTCTTTCTGTTGAAAGCTTATAATAAGAATGTTTAAGAGTTTAAAAGTCATGACAGATCTGACTAATCTCAAAGTGGACTTGTCTGCCTGACACAGCTGTCTGTGTCAAAGACCCCAAGGCTCAGCCTGGGCACCCAGGCTGTATAGCATGTGGTCTGAGTCCTTTTCACATATAATTCTTGCCAGTCCATCAACTGATCTCTCCCACACAGGAGGAAGAAGAGTCGCTATAGGGAACATGCTAGGAGTAAGAGGATGAACACTCCTCGGTGTCATGGAAGGAATGTCACAATAAACATAGACCTGAGATGCAGGCCATCGCCATGGCAACCCGCAGTGCTGCCACCACCACATCTGGCAGCTCCCACACCATCAGTGGCACTGAAGCATCAGTTCCAGAAAAGGAAAAGTGCATCTGTGGTCAGCGCCCTCTTCTAGAAGGCTCCAGAAGAAGAGGCATGTCTCAGGAAAGTTGATGAGTCTTTAAAAAGCCAACTCTCTTAGTATTCATTCACAGGCTAAACTCTCTGTCACATGGAAACTTCAGCCTTGCCCATTTGCTCATTTCCTGACCGCCCTGGATGGCTTAAGTCTTGAGGTGGAGAGGCGACAGTTTTACTGAGCTATAATTCACACACCAGACACGTCACCTGTGTATAAAGTACACACTTCAACAGCTTTAAGTGCCTTCACATAGCTGTACCCCAGTGCTGTGTGTGTGTGTGTGTGTGTGTGTGTGTGTGTGCGTGCGCTTTTCTGGGTTGAGGCATCTGTTGTGGTACTGAAAACTTGAACCTAGAGCATCAGCACATTAGCCACGTGCCCTGCCATTGAGCTATATCTTTATCTCCTAGGGCTAAAGTTCTGATGCTGATGTCAGAACAAACCATAGAATTAATACCATGACCATCCTAGATAGCATTAATTGTTAGCTTGTCACAGCCTAGAATCATCTGAAAATTTCAAATGAGTAACTGCCTTTATTGGGTTGGCTTGTGGGCATGTCTGTGATGGATTTTCTTGATTGCTCATTGACATGGCAGGACCCAGCCCACCGTGGAGGGCGCCATCCATTCCCTAGGCTACGGTATAAAGAAGCATTCTGGGCATAAGCCTTAGTGAGTCAGGTAGCAAGCAGCAGCCTCCATGGCTCCTGCTGTATGTCTTGGCTGGAAAGTGAGCTCATCGGTCACAGGTAATGCGTGGAATAGCAAGCAGGTCTGCCTTAAGTTCCTGCCTTGACTTCCCTCAATGACCGACGATGACCTAGAAGTGTGAGCTGAGCGAATCCTTTCCTCTAAGGTGAGAGCATTTCATGGCAACACCAGAAAAGAAACTGTAACAATTGCCTGAATACTTCCATGTGCCAGACTCTCTCAGTGCCGAGCTATGGCAAGCTAAAAGGGGATGTTAGAGAAAAGGGGAGAGAATTATAGAAAGGAAGAGAAATACAGATGGCCAGAGACCAATAAAGCAACACCCTAGTTTGAGGCTTTTAACTATAAAATTTATAGAACCAAACTAGGTTAGCCTAGAAAAGAGCCACCTGAAATAATAGCAAACACCGCAAACCTGAAAACTCTCCAGAGACCACCTGGCTCCACCTTCTAGAAGGTCAAAGTTCAGGTATCAATCACAAGTGTTCAAGGACCTCGCAGGTGGCGGCCAGTCAAGACCCAATCAATGCACTTGTGACTACAGCCGAAACAAGAGTCTCAATCTAAAATCATTTGCTCTAAGCTACTGGTGCATCGGCCTCACTTCCAGACTCCACCATGGATTAATCCAGGTCTGTCCCTGGGCCTCAGCCGTATTGGTAAATGAGAGAAAAGTGCAGAAAAAAAAAAAAAAAAAGGAAAATCAGCCACAGAAACACCCACACCGTCACAGCAGAACTAAGACTGAAAAAGCAAGGTTTTTCTCTTTCTAAACAGACACTTCATTCTAATAACTCCAAGAGCACATTAGCAAATCCCGTCATGGAAGAAAACCCAGGAGAGGAAAATCGTACGACCCAAAATAAATATTTCCTGTCTGGATTTGGTGCCACTTGGTCTAAGCTATTTTCCTCCCACCCAGCCTCTGCTCTGTCTCTCCAGAACTATCCATGATGTCCAAGTGCTACTCCCGGCTGGGCAGCCACGCAAGGAGGTCTGGGTGGCTAAGAAGAGACTCCAAGTCCTGAATAACAAACAAATACTCCCAGGCCCATGAACAGGTGGACAGCCCCAGGGAGCAGAGGAAACGTCTGGTGGAGGGCAGCATGGGCGCAAAGAGGAAATGGTCCACAGACCACCCTCCTATCTCCCCCCAGTTTTCTGAAAAGAGTAACACCCCCACTGTGCAGATGATCCCCAGCCTGGGCCAGGATCCTATAGAGAAAGTTCCTGTCCACAAAGCCCTTCTCTTACCAGACTGCCGGCGTCCTTGGCGCACGTGGGTAGATACCTCATCCTGGGATGACCACGCCTTCTTCAGCCGCTCTGGGCTGCAGCGATACCTACTGGGATCTGTAGCCAGGAGAGAAACAATCGGGCCTTTTGCTTCCCCAGCGGCCTACCAAGATGCTACCCGCACAAGACCAGACGTCTTCCACCCACACCCACCTCAGATGGTCCTAGATGCCTCTGGAGGTCCCCCAGCATCTATCTTCTTGCAACTGGGGACTTTAGCCACTGAGAGTCCAGATGTTTTAGCAGGAACGTGTTGCTAGTCACACAACTGATCCCCACCCAGCCCTCGACAGACAGAGTCCCCATCCTTTCTAGACAAACAAGCTTTGCCCAAGATATGGCCTGACCTAACGATGTACACAATCAAGAACAACACAGGCAGAAAAGAGTGACTTACAGTAAGAGTCCATTTCCAAGATGGCTTCCTTGGCCTAGAAGGGAAGGAGACCCCCACAGTAACCACCTGACTGTGCCTCGCCTGCCCACCGGGGGACTCACACGGGGTCATGCCATGGCATGTGCCAACACCCGCTGTCCACCAGAGCCAGCAAGGGAGGCTCTAACAGATTCTTGGGACCTGGGTGAGGGGACGCGCTCTCCCCGAAGCCCATCTGAGAGAACCCTAGGAGCCAACCTTCTGGGGGATGGTGGCATGGTGGTTCTCCAAGATGAGTCTCTTGATGTGGTGAGTCCAGCTCCGTTTCTCCTCCACTGTCTTGGCCTAGGAAGGCACAAGGAGAAGGAACAAGGTTTATTATTCCAGGTCAAAACTGCCTAAGTACACTTAGGACTTCTGCCAGGGGCGGGAGGGCAGAGGGAGTAAGAAGGGCTATGCTAGGGTGTCTGCGTACACCTCGGAGAGGTGGCCGCGAGGATCTCACCTTTACAGACGGAGACACTAGGGCGTGGGGGCAGTCAGGGAACAGGGAGTCGCATGCAAGTGTGCTTAGACGTTCCCCAGTCCCTTGCGTAGGCCGCTCCTCACCTGGATGCTGTACTGCTGCTTGCTGTGCTTATAGTGGGTAACGGTGAAGCAGAGGGAGTCTCTGGTGCTTTCAATCAGCATCAGTGAGGAACACTGGGGGCAGAGAACAAGATAAGTCAGCAGGAGGGAAAAGGACCCCAACCCTTGAGACAGTCTCAGAAGTCAGCAGGCACTGGAGCCCGATGAAGCCAGAGGGAAGCTGAGGAGCCAGGGTCTGTGGAGAAGGGAGCATAAGCGAGGACAGCTTCGTTACCGGAATGTGACCCTTGTAGACGAAGTGATCACCCCGCTTCTTGGTGATGAGCAGTATCTTGTCAAAGAGGAAGAAAGTCCTCTCGTTGCGCACGCGGTGTACGCGGAAGGTGGCTTCCAGGACCAGTTCTCCATAGGTGGTCAAGTCTGGCCCCTTCCAGTTAATGAGCAGTGACTGGATCTCCTGCAGCAGAGCGGCCCGAGTCAGGCCTCACTGTCCCCGGGGAGGTCACCCAGTCCTCTCACCCCAAAGGCTTCCATGGATACCACCCTTCTACTCAGTTAAGCACGGTGAGAGTACTCCTTCTCCCAAGCCTTGCCACCTCCCAGGCCAGGGCACCTGCAGCCGAACCGCGTGCTCATGCCTCCTCTTCATGTCATTGATGTACCAGGCCACACACGTCATTGTGTCGATGGCATCCTCTACCACCTCGAAGCCATCCTCTTCTTCATCAAAATGTTTGGCGATTTCCTAGACCAAAGACAAGTGTCTGGGAAAAACCGGTTCCAAGGCTCTGCCCAGTACCCCAGCACAGATCCCGGGCAGGAGCTCCGCACTACCTGGAGTAGCAGGTGGTACTTGAGGATGCGCTGAACGGGCTTCAGCAGGTAGGAGCCCAGAGGCAGGGAGTGCTGCAGCAGTGCCTGCCGGTCTCGGAAGAACTTGGCCTGCTGCGTGTCCTGCATGCACTCCGTCAGGGCTGCCACTGAGCTGGGAGAGGGTAGAGTGAGCGTTACTGCCTGGGGGATGTCCGGTGAGGAGGCAGGAGCCCCACACGCATCAAATGGCCCCCTCTCCCCAAAGTCACTCACTTGGGATAGTTGTTGCAATACTGAGTGTAGATATCAAACTCTTGGCTCTAAGGAAAGACGGGGAAAAAAGAAAACAAAAATGATTTCAGGGAGAAGCTCATCTGACTAGAAAACATGGGGAGACCAAGGGACAGGCTCCTGACCCCCTGAGCACACTGTCATCCCTGAGACCCTGCAGAGCCATCTTTGCATCTGTGTAGGGCATCTCATCCACCCACCAGCTTTGGACAGGGAGCCCCAGGACTCAAGTGTCATCTTACAGTGGGAACGTCTAGCCTAGAAACATGGGACAAGGAGCAAGGATCTGGTTCTTTCTTACCCTTTCCACAAAGCAGCTGGCCACAGCCACAGGGTCACTATTGCAGCTGTCCAGGTCTCTGAGAAGCTGGCTAGGTGAAGGGAGAGAGGCCATTAGACCCCAACGTCTTTAGCCACATCTGTAGCTCCACACACCCCTGCCCACTCCCTCAAACACAGATCACGGCCGGGCCTGGTGGCGCACTGAGTCGCAGCTTCCACCCTGACTAAACCTTGCCCCAGGCGGCAACCACAAAAAGAATCCAGCATGCCACAAAAACAGGGAAACACACGTTTTCAGCAAGCAGCAGCAGAAAAGGAGCTACCAGTACCCACCTCTGAAGGGGACACAGCTCCTCTGTAGGCAGGAGTCAAACACACAAAAGCAGAGATTAAAGGGGGATAAGGACAGAAAGAAGCAAAGAGTGTTCCCAGACGGGAGGGTGCAGGGAGCTGAGAGGGACGGGCAGGGCTGAGCACTCCGATCTTGGTAGGAAGGACTGCAGATATACTGGAGACAGTACTCCCCTGCCTCCTCCAGCTGCTTCCCTCCTCTCTCCCGAGCTGCCTTCTCCACACCTTCCTGAGTCCTGTCTGCACCCTCCCCTCCTACCTACACACTGCCCAGACTCCCCCAGCTGCAAGGGGACCCAGTCCCATCAACACCACTCTTTAAACTGTTTCTCTTGACAGTACCCTTGTCTAACTGTGGTCCCAAAGCAGCAGATTCAACCTTCACAGACTCATCAAGCCTGTTTTGCCTGGACTGTGTGATACACTAACATAGTGGTTCTCAATCTTCCCAACACTGAGACCCTTTAACGTAGTTCCTGCAACCCTTTAAGACGGTGACCCCCTCACAACCATAAAATTATTTTCGTTGCTACTTCATAACTAATTCTGCTACCGTTATGAATCGTAATGTAAATATTTTTGGAGATGGAGGTTTGCTGAAGGGGTTGCGACCCACAGGTTGAGAACTGCTTAATGGGTCAGCCCTCCAGGGAATCCTTACTTCCCTTGGGATCAGTGGGAAAGAAGAGAAATAAACTCTAAGATATGTGAGATGATATAGAAGGAAGAGAACAAGTGTGCAAGGCCTAGCAGTGTGCACAAGACCCAGAAGGTGCTGGAACCAGCAAACACGTGACTTCAAATCAGAACTCCCTAGAAAGGTCAGCTGAGGCCCTCTTCCGGCACAGCGCTTTGATCTTGAGCAAGGGTAGCCTCCAATTCCCTGTCTTTGCAGTCAAGCCTGTGGGTCACAGCCATGGGCCCAGCCATCCAGAGATTGTCCCCAGGCTCTCACGTGTGCCCCAGGCCAGAACATACCTGTTCAGCGCATAGATGCTCTCTATGTTCCCAAAGAGGGCACTGACTTGCTCTGGCTTCAGGAGCCCGGGAGTGTCAATGATCTTCAAAAGGTAGTCCTATATGGAGAGAAAGTATGAGGACCCCGCACTTCCTCTTGGCTTGGTCACCCAACCCCCCAGCCACACCTTAATCCATACTGCAATTGTGAGGCTATGACACGAGATCACAGGCAGTGTGCGCTGTCCTGAGCCACGGGGATTTGCTCAAAAATTCAAGTCTACTTGGCAGCTTGGAATGCAACCTTATTTGGAAACAGGGTCTCGTAGATGTCATTAGTGAACCCTCTCAAGATGACATCATTTGATATTTAAGGAGGCACCAATGGCTGATGTCCTTCTAAAAGAAAGGGGCACAGGCGTAAGTCGGGTGATGGTTAGGAGCTAGGATAACGCAGTCCCAGGCCAAAGGACAACAGAGAAAATTAGCTCTGGCTTTCTGCAATCCCGGTACTTGGGAGGCAGAGTCAGGAGAACTGCCTTGAGTTAAAGGCCAGCCTGGGATACAGAGCAAAATCCTATCTCAAAAGAAGCCAAACCAAGAGGCTGGTGAGATGGAAAAAGCACTCGCCTAGTGACCTGAGCTCAACCCCTAGAGCCATGTAAAGACGGACGGAGAGAAGCGACTCCACAAAGCTGCCTTTTGACCTTCAGATGGGCACTGTCCACCCAGACACACACACACACACACACACACACACACACACACACACACACACCCCACACTTCCTCTGCCTCCTGAGTGCTGCAATTAAAGGCTTTGGCCACCATTCCCAGCTTTTAGAGTTATTTACTCATGTATTTTATGTATACGAGTGCTCTATCTTCATGCAGGCCAGAAGGGAGCAACAGATCCCCTTACAGATGGTTGTGAGCCACCCTGTGGGTGCTAGGACTTGAACCCAGGACCTCTGGAAGAGCAGCTAAGTGAGTGCTTTTAACCGCTAAGCCATCTCTCCAGTCCACACTTTTTTTTTTCTTACTAAAAACAAACAGTCTGAAAGAGAATTCATTTCTGGCACTTTAAGCCTGGAGGTTTGTGGTAATTTATGGCATAGCCTTAATGGACTCCCAGCCTGCTCCTCACCAGGCAGAGGGATCCTCAGCGGCAGGTATGTGTCACCTTTCCCTCTTTCCCTCTTTCCCTGTGTGCCTCACAGTGTGGAGCATGTACTTTTGCCAGCCCTATTCATTCTGCAGGCAAGGACCTGGGCCCATACCCAAGGCTCCACAGCCAGGAAACAGCACAGTGGGGAACCTGGATGAAACTGCCCAGGTTTCATCCCTGCAGAGTACCTAGGTCCCCCTACTCAGGCTAAAGCCTTTCTCTTTGCTACCACAATGCCCATTCCCCAAGCACCTACAAGAAATTCAATTATCCTACTTGAGTGATGGAAGGTGGCTCGGGGTCATAAGGAAGCATGAGAGGCCACAGTTCCCACCAGGCAGGTCCCCAAAGCTTCCTCCTGGCCTCATGGGAGGCAGATATACAGAACAGAGAGAGATGTCCAGGGGGAGCCTTCCATCCTGGGGCGGAGTCAGGTTGTACTTATAAGAGTTGGGCCACTGAAGAGACGCCCAGCCCCTCCCAGCCTCAGCACTCACCTCCACAATACTCCGCAGGTCCTGTACATACATGCGCTCTGTCTCCACAATCTCTCGCACCACCCGGCCCAGGTAGCTGAGCTTGTGGTGGGCAGGACTTGTCCCTGCACGGCCGTTGAAAGGGGAGAGGGGTCCCTTCATGTTCAGCCAGCCGCTGGAATTGTTGTTGCTATTGGGGACGTGCCGGCCCCAAGGGGAGCCTGTCCCATTCTGGGCTGAAGCCTCGGAGCTGGTGGGCTCCTCCATGGCACTGTGGCTGTCACGGGAGGAGCCAGATGAGGAAGTGGTGGACATTAGGCTGGGTGGACGCTCCTGGCTGCCATCTTGGTGGAGGGCAGTGGAGACGGGCATCCTGGCATCGCTGCCCGGGATTGTCACCTCGGGGAGATTCTGGAATAAAACAGACAGATGGAGGGTCAAATTCTGAGTAGCTACAGAATCCGAAAGAGGAAGGGAGGTTGCTGGAGACAGGGAGGGCACACAACGGGAAGTCACTGATAGCAGGTACAAAGTCCAGTTTGGGAAGATGAAAACAGCTCCAGAACGGATAGCGATGTGGGGACGACATGAAGGGACTTAATGTCACTGAACCACATTTACAAATGGTTAAGGTGGTAAACGTTAACGTTTATATATTTTACCACAACTTTTAAAAATAAGGTCAGTGAGATGGCATAGCTAGTAGAGGCTCTTGCCACCAGGTCTGGCAACCTGAGCTCCGTGTCACACAAGGTGAGAAAAGAGAACCGACACCCTGCAAGGTGACCTCCGACCTCCAAGTGTGTGCCACGGCATGCGCACGGCCTCCCAAATAAATGAATGGAGGTAATTTAACAAACAATACAAAAAAAAAGTCTAAACATCGAGAAAAGCCATTCCCTCAAAATAGGAATACTGACTGGCAAGGATGCTCAAGCTACATCCTTTCTGGATCTCAGCAGCTCAGCCTCTGTCTTCCCCAGGGTGGAGATACATGGTCTACACTAGGAGACAGTAAGTTCTCAGAAGAGCAGAGAGGGTCTACGGTACTTTCTAAAGAACTCAAAACGCAGTCCTAGGGACTGAGAATATAGCTCAGTTGATAACGCACTCACCTAGCATGCACGAGGCCGTTAAATTCAATTCTTAGCATCACATAAAACCAGGTATGGCTGGGTGGTGGTGGTATGCCTTTAATCTCAGCACTCAGGAGGTGGAGACAGGCAGGTGTGAATTTGAGGCCAGCCTGGTCTACAGAGTTAGTTACAGGACAGCCAGAGCGATACAGAGAAACCCTGTCTCAAAAACAAAAAACAACCTACTGGCATGGTGGCCCACCCCTGTCATTCCAGTACTACTTAGAGGCAAGAACATCAGAAGTTCAAAGTCATCCTCAGCCATCCAGTGAGTTCCAGGTTAGCCACAGCTTCATATCTAAAATCTATCATAAAAAAAAATGCAGAAAGGAAACTAGACAAACAAGCATTGCCACTTGGGCAGAGTGCTTGGCCTCTCGGGGCTTTACCTATAACAGTGTACCCCAGAGCTATGTCCTCAAGGTGATGCAACCTGCTGCCTGCCCTCGGAGCCTGGCACAGTGACTATTCCACAAATCATCAGTACATGATGATAAGGGCAGCTCTCAGAATGTGCATCCCGTGTGCCTGCCTATCTATGCTGGCCGTCATTGCAGGGGGATGAGCCAAAAGCTGTTTTGTTTTTGTTTTTTCGAGACAGGGTTTCTCTGCAACTTTGGAACCTGTCCTGGAAACTAGCCCCTTGAGACCAGGCTGGCCTCGAACTCACAGAGATCCGCCTGCCTGTGCCTCCTGAGTGCTGCAAAAGCTGGCTTTTTTTAAAAATGTATTTATATATTTATGTTTGTGTGTGTGTGTGTGTGTGTGTGTGTGTGTGTGCATGTGGAGGTCAGAGGACAACCTGTGGAAGTTGGTTCTCTCCTTCTGTCATTAATTTCATGTCTTCAATTAAATCCACGTCATCAGGTTTGGCACTTTCACCCACTGAGCCGTTCCACCAGCACAGGCTCTCAACAGTGTTACACCAGCATGTAATACTCCCCGAAAAATTGCTACATCTTGGAGCACCAGTGGCTCCACCTATACTGAGAGGAAAGAAAGGGGACGGCAAAGAATGAGCCAGTTTTACCCCTTGTCCCACTCCCAGGCACCGGGTGTAGGCAGGCGGCCCCTGACTCAGCCACACCAGGAAATTCCCCAGGGCTGAGCAACAGCTGAGTCTTCCCTCAGCACGGCTGGGCAAAGCGGCATAGAAGGCAGGAAGCTGCACCCAGGTGAGGCAAACACAGTCACAGGTGAACTTTATTCCCTGAGCAGATGGTACTGCTCACAACCCACTCCAGAGAGAACACCTCATACCTACCCACGGGACCAAAGCTGCCAGAACCCTCCATGGCTTGCTATTTCCTCAGGGGAGGCGCAGGGAAAAGAGGAGGAACCTGAGTCATTAGTTTGGTGAGGAGGACCCCAGGGACCTCTCTCACCTCTACTGTCCCTAGAACTCATAGGCTGCCAGACCAGCCTTGGCCAACAGGATCCACAACATGCAGTCGCCACTCCAGCCTGTTTTCTTGTGTCTCTACCCTGATGTAGAAACCAGGGCCTATGGACTCTGCCTTTTATACATGTTGCCGTCTCTGCCTGCCATTTCTCCTCCGTACCTACTCCACGTCGTTCTCGACCTTGCCGTCTTAGGCTAGACGTTCTCTCTCTAGAAGCCTCCCCATCAGCGGCAGACCTGGAGGCCTCTGCTGTGCACTCTTGTTGCCTCAAGTTTTCTCTTCTGTTAACTCACCGTAACTGTGACCAGCTTGAGGCCCTCTGCCCGGGGCTAACGGTTACACAAGCAGGGATCATCAGGACCAGTTTGGAGAGTAGCAATGGCAAATAAGTTGACTTTTTTTTTTGGGTGGGGGGCAAGGTTTTTTTCTCCGTTTTGTGACAGGGTCTCTAATACCCAAGGCTGGCTTCCAACTCCCAAGCACGTTCCTGAACGTCTGGTCCTCCTGCCTGCATCTCTGGATTCCTGGGATTACAGGAACAAGTCACCGACCTAACTTATGGGGTGCTGGGGCTCAACCCCGAGGCTTTGTGAACGCTAGGCAAGTAGTCTACCGATGGAGCCATATCCCCAGCCTGTTGCTTTATTAAGCTAAAAGTTGAGCGTGTTCAGACCCACTTATGGGTCAACACTAACCAGTCAGGCCCTTCTCACTGTCAGCATTTTGGCCCTGTGTCTCAGCTAAGGGATTTTGTGCAGAGCGAGGTGCCTATCACGTGACAAGTGACGGGCCAAGGGCAGCTCTAGGATTGGTGCTGGTGTTTGCCTCTGCCTACGACACAGGAAGCTAAGCCTTAGGGGGACCACGCAGGGCTACTTCCTCCCGCCCTCAAAGACTTCACGCTAACCAGCTGCACCCTTCTGCAGGGAGACTGGGCCCAAACTCTACCCTGACCTTGACCTCTAGTTCCATTGGTCCCAGCTGGAAAAACAACCAGGCAAAGACTTATGGCCTGAGACCTTTCCCAGATTAGCCCTGGGGTCATGTCAGCTCCTTTGGGGAGGCTAAACGGAAGAGACCCAAGTCCCCAAAGGATGTCACAGCCAGTAAGGTCATAAGCCTTACAGCCCTACCTTATCCCCACACGCACACACTATCAGGGGTTTACTCTATGAAAGGAACCTTCTGAGAGCCACTCGTAGGGACCCCACTTCTCTAGTTAAATACAGCTACCTGTTTGCAAAGCCAGCTGTCCTGATGAAAGCAGAAAGTACCTGCCTGAATCCCCCAGAGCCAAAACAAAACAGATCAGTCACTTGCTCAATGGTCTAAGAGCTGCAGGGCGCTGAGTCTGACCTATCCCTAACAACACCGTGCAGTGGGTGCTATTCTGAGTGCTCTTGTACAGATGCAGCGTGGAGCCCACCGGACTTGGGCATGTGGACTCCAGCCTCCACACTCTCACAGCCGCTACCTCCCTAAAGGACCTCACACCTGTCAGGGCCATAACAGATGCATTAGTCATGGCCCCTGGTTTCCAGGGCTTTGATGTAGGATAAGCTACAAGAGCATGGTGACCATCCAAAGGGCTGAGAAGGCTTGTCTGGATTTGCACCATGTGGATGGCCTCTGACAATCACTCTAGCATTGGAACAATACAGACTCTGGATCAAGGGTCATGGGCCACAGGCAGGCAGCGAGCAAGGATTCCCGGGGTCAGACGTTCCATGTCTCAGATGATACTGCTGTGATCTAGGGTCCTACGCATGATACAAGGTTCCCCTCTCCCAGGCAGGAGGCCACAAAGGGTTCAAAGAACCCAGAGTGGGGGTGAGTATGTGAGAGCAGGATTCAAGAGCGGATGGTCAGGCTGGCCACCCCACGTCACTGCTGTGTGTACAGTGCAGACTCCTAGGCCAGATCTTATCCAAATGCTCCCTTGGGCAGGGCAGCCTGTCCTTCCTACCCGATGAGCAGTACCCACCATGCAAGAGTCACCCTAAACCAGGACAAGCATTTGGTTCCTCAACCTTGTCTGTTCTGGTTTTGTTTTTTGAGACAGGGTTTCTCTATGTAGTCCTAGAACTCGCTCTGTAGACCAGGCTGGCCTCAAACTTAGTAGATCTGGTTGCCTCTGCCTCCCAAGTGTTGGGATTAAAGGTATGCACCACCATTGCCAGGCTTAAACTAAACTTGCCTCTGAAGAAGGCAGCAGTCAAGAGTCAAGCCCACCCGTCCCCAGCCAAGCCTCCAGATGTCTCCTGCAGAGGCCAAGTTCATCTTTCCGCACGATTCATCCCTGTCACCAATCCTTAAACCAACCTTCCAGGGAACCGACTCTCAAACCGTACACTATGAAGCCCTTTGAGCCGTTCCCCCAAAGAATCCAGGAACAGGAAGAGAAACTCACCTTTTCTCCCTTCCTTCCACTTCCTCCCCTCCTTCTCCATCTAAATTAAAATGTATCTACTCCCTTCCTCCATGCACACATATGTAAAGTGTATTCTCTGCCTCCTAAGGACCTTCCCCGGGCTCCCCAGGCAAGGAGGCAGGCAGGCTGCAACAGGTCCTTGGATTCCCAGCAGTAAACTGGAGCCAAGTCCCACACCTTTCCCTTCTAACTATGCCTCAGTACTGTGCCCTCAATGTGACCCAAAGGGGGAATACCCCAGGTCCCCAGACATAGCCAGTGTCTCTTGTGTTGTCCTCAGGCCTCCTCTCACTGAGGGAATTAAGACCCATTCTTCCCTCCACAAAAGATCCCCCCAAAGAACCCCCTGGAGCCTTCTGGAACTCTCTTGTTGAAGGTCCTGGAGAAACCCCCAAGAATTGGCCACATTCCCTTAGCCCATCTCTGGCAGGTAAGCGGAGA